CGGCTAATTTTTTGATTTATTGTAGAGATGAGGTCTCGCTAAGTTGCCCAGGCGGGTCTCGAATCCGTGGGCTCACGCAATCCACTCACCTCAGCCTCCCAAGGCACAGGATTACAGGCTGAGCCACCGAGCCTGGCTTTATTTATTTTTTAAACTGCTGTGGCCCGATTATAATATTTGTTCCGTCCAGGTTGTGGACAAGTGGGATAATTCTCTGTTCTGGTCACAGTAGGAAGATGAGACCCTTGTCTTGCCTGGCTTCCTTATGGACACAGAAGCTCTTATCCCTGCAGAGACTCTGCCCGACAGATGGTATGTTTGCTGCCACACTCAATTTCCTCCTAGCAAATGACGCCAAATCTGTCCTACCTCCATCCGCACCTTCCTGGAGGGCAGGTCCTGTGCCCTTCAGTGGGTCTTCCCCGTATCCTGAGCCATCACTGGCATTGAGATTTTGGTTACAGAACTGATTTTTTTTTTCTTCATCCCATTTCTCGATTCCCTCTATGTCCAGCAGCAGTGCATCATGACACACACACCTCTCACCTCGTTTCTGGTTTTGACTCTACATTTACCCACAATTCATATTTACCGACAGTTGGAAATTTAAACTATAGGCAGCTTTGTTTTGGTTTGACCTACATGAGTACTTTTGATCTGAGTCTGATATTTTGGCCACCCTTCTCTTTCCTTTGTTTCCAAAGAACAAAGAAACTGCAGCACCATGTGTTTTCCTGTATTTGCGTTTTTAATGAGTCTAAGCCAAGTTCATGAGGATAGAGTGCACAGTCGACTGCTTTTGATGCAAAGGTTACACGAGCGACTCAGACCAGCAGAAAGCACAGCAGAGTGAATGCAGGAGTCTCGGTACATTGGAGTTGAAATCATTTCAGGAGAAACATGGTTCTGAACTCCTGATGGAAGTCAATGGAAACATGATCTAATACAGATGTATCTGCTTTACTGCTTATCAGACAGTGTACAGTGGGGATAAAGTTGTAATCATATTTTGGAACTGGTGCCTGATCTCAAACCAGGTGAAGTGTGGACCAAAGGGAGACCCATACTTTACCTGTATGATGACCACTTGTATACCTAATTCGGAATTATACCCCACATCTTTAAACATTTTTTTTTTAATTTTTCATTTCGAACTGGAAAGAATAAGAAGTAATGCAATTTTTTAGCTGGTGAAAGTCTTTATAATGTACCTTTGAAATTTCAAAACTATTCACAATTACCTCTTGTCTCAATAGACGTTCTGTCTGGTTTCTGGTAATGTTTCTATGGTACCACCTGCAAAAGCAATAAAAATTATTTTTACTTATATTCAATTTTGTCAGAAAAAAAGCTGCTTTATTTTTCATTTTTAAGAACTTACTTTAGGACTGATTTTAGAAAGTTGAGTGCTTAAAATAAATCAGATAAACAGTACTATACTATTATGGGTTAGCTAAGTTTAATACCATTTTATTTTCAAGCCAATTTCAATTTTGTTGCACCATCTCACAATTCAACTTTCTGACACACAGTATACAATTTTGAATGATTTAACAAAAATTTCTATGGCTGGTATGTAGTTCAGAAATCATCGTCTTCAACAAATACTGTTTGAGTTTTGGCAGACAGACTAAAAAAATCCATTTCTTTCTTTCCTCTCAAGAACATTTTCTTTGCATGTTTTTGTATGTGCTGTGCTGCCCTTTCCAAAACCAAAGTTCATTCTAGCTCACCTGACCCTCCGAGGGATTTACCTTGGAACAGAGTTAGTAGAGTCCTTGAAACACCCAGTACGTGATCCCGCCCCAAACACCCTTGCCTCGCTCGATGTCCCCTCACTCACTAAGCTCCACCACACTGAGATTCTCTCCTTCCTCAGGCCCACCAAGCCTCTCCTGCCCCCATATGCATGATTTCTCTACATGGAACATGTCCCTAAATGGTTTTATAACATCAGCACCACACACAGTAAGCATAATTAACATTATAAGTCAAACACAGAGTCTGACATGACAACAGCTAGTCAGTAAGGAAGGAGAGAGGAAAATGGTAGAATAAGAGAGAGAAAGAATGCAATGTCGAAAAGCTTTCATTTCAAGTCAAGACTTTTTAAATTTAACCTAATACTATTACCAGAAATACTGTTTCTGTGGCAGTGGAAGGAAGGCATATATACACATATTCACAGCCACTTGGGAGGCTGAGGCAGGAGGATTGCCTGAGCCCAGGAGATCGAGGTTGTATATATATAAGCACTTTTTTTTTTTTTTTTGAGCCAGGCTCTCACTCTGTCGCCCAGACTAGAGTGCGGTGGCACAATCACAGCTCACTGAACCTCAACCTCCTGAGCTCAGGTGATCCTCCTCCCCCAGTCTCCCAAGTAGTTGAGACTGCAGGCACCCACTACCACACCTGACTGATTTAATTTATTTTATTTTTTGTAGAAGCAGGGTCTCACTATGTTGCCCCAGCCTGTTTCAAATTCCTGGATTCAAATAATTACTCCACCTCAGCCTCCCAAAGTGCTGGAGAAACAGGTATGAGCCATCATGCCCAACCAGAAGAAGGCATATATAATCACATACTAGTAGTCACTGTGGTGGGCAGACATTGGCTGAATTCTTGTGTCTGATCCAGAGGATGGAAGTCATCTCACACGTGGACATTCCCAGTGGTGGAAACTGCCACCAGATTAGATTGGTCAGGTGTTTAAAATGCCAGTGCACTCCTGGAAAGATGAGCCATGAAGAATCCAGAATGGTACAGCTGATTCCAAGCACAGCATTGACTAACCATCACTAGTAAGCATGAAAGTAACTGAAACGTTAAACGGCGAACATCATTTGGGACATTTTAATGAATATTCATTAATATTCATTTTAATAATATTCTTTCTGGAGGAAAGAATTTTGAGATGAGTCTGAGACCTCTTGTTGTGGAAAGAAGAAATTCTTCCGAAATAAATGAGTCAGAATTAGGCACAAGAAACCAGCTTAAAGGAGCCCCCACTGGCTAAGTTGTGAATTTGGAATTACAAGGAGAATCATGATTATAATTCATGAAAATAAGTTGAATCTATGAAAAGCCAAGACTGTATACTCAAGAAGACAAAAGTTAAAATAAATTGTATTACAGTGTTTTTCACCTGCTATTGTGTTGGTGGTGTGTTGTTGTTTTGTATTCATTTATTAGAGTGATAAATAAAATAGGCAAATGTGTTAATTATGTTTAAATAGAAATTTTAAAAATCTATCCATAAGTGGGTGTTATTGGAATGACTTCAAAGTCACAACTAAAGAGCCAGACAAAAGTGTGTGACAAATTTTGGCCAGGTATAGTGGCTCACGCCTGCAATCCCAGCAATTTGGGAGGCCGAGGTGGGAGAATCGCTTGAGCCCAGGAGTTTGAAACCAGCCCAGGCAACATAGTGAGACCTCATCTCTACAAAAATAATACAAAAATTAGCTGAGTGTGCCTATAGTCCTACTGCATTGTGAGGCTAAGGCAGGAGGATCACCTAAGTCCAGGAGGTCAAGGCTACAATGAGCTGTGATCACACCATTGCACTCCAACTTGGACTACTAAAAAAAAAAAAGTATATGTTAAATTCAAGACCCTTTAAAACAATGCAGAATTCTATCAGATAGGAAAGAGTTTGACTGGGTGAAAATTAGGGAGGTTGGGAACACGGTATTTCAGAACTTAATCTGTGTAAATCAGACGATAAAAGTTGGAAAGGTTTTGCTTTTTTTTTTTAATTCAGATCTGAGAAGGTAAACCTGCTTCTCTTATAACTTTCTAACGCTGAGAAGTTTAAAAATTCAGTGTAGAGAGAACAAAATAAATCCAACTCACACTTCTGCAAAGTTCAGAATAATATGTTTGGTATTTCAAGTCTCTATAATTTCAAGAGAATCTCACATATCAGATTCATACCTATGATCTATAATGCATAATTAATTTTACACTTGCCATTTGAAGTTGAAGAGAACATGACTAATTTTTTAAATGATATTTGTACAATCAACAGAACTTGATTTCCCACATTTATAGGTTTAATTTTCTGGGTTTCCAGGATCATTTAGAGGCTTACATAGGGCTTATCACAACTGTAAATTTGCCCTGTCAAGTGTGTGATGTACTTTACAAGAAAATTGAATTTATTCAATTTTTTTAAAGATCACGAAAATTTAATTAACTGAGCTTCTACCCAGGAGTGATTGTTTAAGGACATTTGGAAGGTTGAGTCTGAATGGAGGTGACTGTTTTTACTTATGTAGACCAAATAGTAGACCAAGATTTATAAGATGAATTTGAGGACTTGCAGAAAACTAGGTATTTACATTGTAATGTTGATAATCTGGATATTCATTTAAAGCCAAAGTAGCCCTAAATTTTTGCCCCAACATTCCCCTGAGATGCCAGAAGCCCACACTGACACAACAATTCTCCCCCATCATCCCCCGCACACTACCTGCTACCCTCTTTAGACCTTAAGCCATTTCCTCAGAAGTGTCTTCCCCCACCCAACAGCCCCCATCTACATGATATCCCCTCTCTTGTTTTCTCCCACAATGCCCTATACTGTGCCTTCATAACAGTCCAGCTTAGAATCATGTATTCATTTGTGGATTTAGGTTTGTTTAATATCTGTTTCCCCAGAAAACTGTGAGTTTCCGACATGCAGGGACTGCTCCTGTGTGTCCCCTGCTGTATCCACAGTGCCTGGAACAATCAACCTCTGGTGTGACATTGGAAGTGTAGAGGAAACGCAGCTTGAACAGATACCATGATCCAGGACTGACATCACTAAGCAGTGCGGCACACCTATAACACCAGACAAGGTGGACCAGATGTGCATGTCCTTCCTGTTAGTTTCACAGTTCACCGAAATCACAATGATCGCCAGAATGTATTGAACATTTGCTGTGGACTGCATGAGCTAGGTATTATGTCACCACTCTTCAGATCATTGGGAGGTTTAGACATGTTGGGTAACTTTACCCAGAGCCAAAGGACTAGTCGGCAGTGATGCCAGGATTTGAGCCATGTTACCCCCATTTCTAAGTCCATGCTTTGGTACTTTGACCCAGGGTCATAATTTCTCTACAGTCAGTAGAATGGTGCTTGGCACAGAGTAAGTGATCAATAAATTTTAGTGATAATTATTTCATCTATAATTTAAGATTTTATTTTATTTTATCTTATTTTATTCTATTTTATTTTATTTTGTGAGTTGGGGTCTTATTCTGTTGCCCAGGTGGGAGAGCGGTGGCATGATCACAGTTCATTGCAGTCTCGAACACCTGGGCTCAGGTGATCCTCCTGCCTCAGCCTTCCAAGCAGCTGGAACTACAGGGGCTTGCCACCACGCCTGGCTAATTTTTTGATTTTTTGTAGAGATGAAGTCTTGCTAGGTTACCCAGGCTGGTCTCGAACTCCTGGGTTCAAACAGTCCTTCCACGTCTGTCTTCAAAAGTGCTGGAATGACAGGCATGAGCCACTGCACCCAGCTAAGCAAAAAAAAAAAAAAAAAAAGTTTTAAAAGCAGCAAAAAAAAACTAAAAATGAGTCTTTCCATAACTAGAGTCATTAAAAAAGGATGATCTTTAAAAAGGCACAAAAGTCAAGGTCCAAGGAAAAGAGGTGGCAATTGTGACCCCACATGATTTAATTCAGACGACTCAGTGTCTATAATATATATAAGTTGTCATCACCAGTCTGAGCCTAGTCTACACAGCGGAAGAAAACAGCACTGCAGGGCAGAGGGTGTCCATCCATAAGCCCCAGGCACTGTGTTGGATGTATTCACATATGAAGAGGGAACAAAAAACCTGGAATTTATATATTAAACTTTGTGTATTTATTCTTGCATGTTTAAACTTCAGTCAGCCTAAAGTCCTCTTTATTTGATGCAATACACCCATCGAGACACCTTTTTCACTGTTCACACAGGTTTTGAATTCATCCATTTTGATGCTTTTTAGTGCTTCTGCTGGTGAAACATTCCCCTTTGAGAACTTTTTTCATTCGAGGAGACAGAAAACAGTCACTTGGGGTGAGATCAGGTGAATAGGGAGGGTGGGGCACCGGGGTCATGCTGTTTTCGGTCAAAAATCACTGAAGACTCAGCACAGTGTGGGCAGGTGTGCTCGAAAACCACTCAACATGAAATGGGCAATCACACTGAAAGAATCTCAAAAAAAAAAAAAGTTCACTGAAACCAAAATCAGCTTCTCCTAACAATGCTAGCTGGTAGACTGATGCTGATGGGTTCTTAGAACACTTACCAAGGGGGTAAAGTCTATGTTATAAGGGGTCCACCCCCTCGAAGATAATTCTGGTTTTGGGGAGTCTTCCCCTGCCCCCATATGTCTCCTTCAATAGCCTGGAAAATTCAAACTGGGGTAATGCTATGAAGAAAAAAAAAAGGCTTATTTTGCTAATTTTTTTAGCTGGAGATTTTCACACAAAACCTCTTCTGACCTGGTCTTGCAAGACACCTGTCTTGTCAGCTTCAGCTGGGCTAGCAGTGAGAACCCATGGAAGGGTCCTCTTGAGTAACAGTGGAGAGTTGTAAGCTGTTTTTAGGAAGGTGAGTTCAGTCACTGAGGGCCTTGTGTTTACTGGAGACTAGAATCTCAAGGCAGAGCTGAATGTTTGCACTAAAGACAAAACAGGCTGAGTGAAGGCAGGAGAGAAGTGACTCTGTGATGGCCCATAGGAGGGTGACTTGATAGCAAGGATGGAAATAGCCCAGGGGGATGTCCAGTCAAGTGAGGGAGGTGTGTCATATGGCCTGAGGTCATCTCCCTCCCCCCCACACACACAAAGTCTACATGATCCCCAAAGCTCCTGGAATTGGAAGTTTTAGGGAGAGATGGCCTGAACTGGGCCTACAGGTGGGCCTAGGTTAGCAGCAAGGCCCGCTAAAAAGCTTCTCATTCTGTTAAATTCGTTGCCTGGTTCTCAGAAAAGCATGAGTCTTAATACCTCAACTCAAATGACATCCTGCCACCTGCTGGAAGCAGGAGCTAATTGCAATAAAAGTACCAAGGTCAGGGGAGGGAGAGAGTGCTCAAACTGAAAGTCTAAATTCATAAAAAACACAGGAAAGTCCCCAGCTCTGCCACTCTACCCATAATTAACCAGCCTCAGGTTCTCATCTGCAGAATGAGAGGTTAAAAAGGTGACTGAGAAGGACTCCACCTTCAAAATCTAGAATTGTAACAAAAATTAATTTTTTTTTTTTTGAGAAAGGGTCTCATTCTGTTGCCCAGGCTAAAGTACAATGGTATGATCATAGCTCACTGCAATCTCAAACTCCTGGACTCAAGCGATCCTCCTGCCTCAGTCTCCTGACTAGCTAGGACTATAGGCATGTACCATCATGCACAGCAAATTTTAAAAATTATTTTTTGTAGAGACAGGGCCTCCCTATGCTGTGCAGGGTGGTTTTGAAATCCTGGCCTCAGGAGCAATCCTCCCAAAGTGCAGAGATTACAGGCATGAGCCATGGCACCTGGTCCAAAAATAGTTTTCAAGCAGAACTCTAGTGAACATGCCAAAATTTCTTCCAGACTACAGCATTAGCCTAGTTCTTATCTGCAGCTATTTCTAAAACATATGAAAAAAAGCATGAGCCAAGACATAAGTGATTTGTTTACATGGTAAGTCCAATCTACCACTAATTGAAAAATTAATGTGATTCTTTAAAAGTAAGTTTTCCAGTGAAGCTGTCAAGTAAAACAAGTGCCAGATGGAGTGTTTGGTTTCCCTCAGTCACTGTTAAAACAGAAAACGGGGCCATACAACACAAAACAAAAGCAAGCTTAAGAAAAAGAAGTTTCAGAATCAACAATGATAAGGATCAAAGGTCTCTGTTGCTAAAGCTGCCAAATGTGTTACTTTCTTTTCCTTTTATAAACCAAAAAACAGTATCTATACGCATGACTTCCACAGGTTAACCATAGGGCATGTTTTGGAAAAGACTTACTCATATATTTCTAAGTTGGTGATTTTGTTTTCAGTCACGTAGTTGCTTGGGATTAAACCTTCATTCCTACAACAAAAGACAAAGCAGAAATTAAAACACTTTGCACAATTGTGGCAACAGTCGTTTTAACACCTCATGGATGTCAGGAATATCAAATTCAACTTACTGATTAAGTTGCTAAAGAGGATAAAATTATTTTCATTTCCAACTCAACAAAAATCTCTGTATAATAAATACTGCACTAAGATCCCAACTTTTTTTTTTTTTTAGTTTAAGTTCCACTCTGTTGCCCAGGCTGAAGTGCAGTGGCACAATCATGGCTCATTGCAGCCTCGACCTCCTGGGCTCAGGTGATCCTCCCACCTCCACCTCCCAAGTAGCTAGAACTACAAGCACATGCCACCACACCCAGTTAATTTCTTTAAATTTTTTGTGGAGATGAGGTCTTGCTATGTTGTCCAGGCTGATCTTGAACGCTTGGCCTCAAGCAATCCTCCCACCTCAGCCTCCCAAAGTGTTGAGATTACAGGCATGAGTCACTGTATCTGGCCTGATTCTGAGAGCAGTTCAAGAGGTTTTATGACTCCAAAATCTCTTCAGGGAGAAAAAGGGGCACTTAAATGATCATTTGATGTCATAATGACCAGCAATTACAAAGCACAACAATTACAAAGATATTGGTTTCGTTCTTCTCCACAGCAGCAGAGTGTTCCCCAGTACAGACATCCTGGTCCAGCCACACACCTGTTACAAGCAGTGCTGTGAAGAAATCCTTGAACATGACCTCTTGTGCACAAGTAGGAATATCTATCTAAGACAGATAGCGGACAGGGGAACTGTTAAGTTGCCGAATATGCGAACCTTCCAGGGGACATGACAAATTGACCCTTGAGGAGAAATTACCAACTTGCACACCTATCAGCAGGGGAGGGATCTTGCTTTTCCTACACCTTCTCCAACATGTGCAATTACACACAGATCTCCAAGATATATTATTGAGGAATAAGAATAAGTCACAGAACAATGTACAAAGAATATGAGATTCAGGGAAAGAAATGAACAACACCATATGTCTTGATATGTGTATGCAAGGGCATTGAAAACCATCTGGACAGGAGCTCACTAAATGGGTAATGGTGTCTACTTTGTGGAAAGAGACTGGATTTGGAGGGAGTGGAAAAGCAGAATGTTGACATCATTTGTAATGTCTGCATGTCATTTAAAAAAAAACTCTGTTCACTTATTAACTTTGAAATTAAAAAATTAATAGTGTTTTTTAAGCCTGGGTCATGTCAATGTTTTACCGGAGGTGTGGCAAATCACACAGTCCTGAACCTACTAACACCTGTTTTCCACTGGAAATTTACCATCACATGTTATGCACAAACTAAGAACCATAAAGAGAGCCAAATCCTCAGGAAAATATAATTGAGGAAAGACATATGTCATTTATATCCTTATAACACTTAGTTTGTGTTTTTTTTTAACTTGAGATCTCACTCTGTTGCCCAGGCTGGAATGCAGTGGCACAATAACAAGTCCCCACAGCCTCAACCTCCTGGGCTCAGGTGATCCTTCCACCTCAGCTTCCCGAGTAACTGGGACTACAGACACATGCCACCATGCCCGGCTAATTTTTTTTTTTTTTTTTTGTAGAGATGAGATCTCACTATGTTGCCCAGGCTGGTCTCAAACTCCTGGGTCCAAATGATCCTCCCACCTCAGCCTCCCAAAATGGTGAGATTCCAGGTGTGAGCCACAGCACCAAGCTAGATTCTGATAATTTCCAAATCTTGGCAGATATCAGGAGCTAAAACCAGGCTTTCCTTCTCGAGGGTCCAGATACTCCTCAGAATTCTTCAGTACCTAGGATCCCAGTCAGACCTTAGTCCCCTCCACCCCACATCTGAAATTGACACAAGGAAACCTGCTTATACCAAAGGTCTTTCTTCTTTCCAGTTCAATTCAGCAACTACTGCCATGTTTCCTTCCAAACTAGTCATCGTACAAATAGAAAAGTGAGTAAGACATGATTTCTGTTCTTACCTTAGAATGTCACAGAAAAAAAAGACAAATTCCCAAAGAAAGTACAAAAGGGAATAAAAACCTATATTGTAGGAACTATGATTCCCATTTTACAAATAAAGACTTGAAAATCCCAAGAGGGCAAGTGGTTTGCCCAAAGCCACACAGCATGACAGCTCACAACTTGAAGCCAAGTGTGTCCGGAGACTTGGCTGGAAGTCGCTGTGACCCGATGGTTGCTCACACAGAATGGAGGTGGGGGCTGAGGGAAGGTTCTGTGTCATGCAAAGGGAAGAGTCACAACCCAGAGGAAATGAGCCACTCAGCAGTCTCCCGAGTGGACTGTCTTTGGAGGCTGAGGAGAAGGAACATGGCAATGGCCTAGTCGTGTGTCTTACCCCAGGCAGTCCCTCGCCTTCCACCAGTGAGGATCACACTTCTCCAAAACCAGGTACTCTTCTGCCCTCTTGAGGGCCAAGTTGCAGGGTTCTCTGGGCAGAAAGTCATAGAGCGCCTTGACCTGGATCTTCTCTTCAGCAGCCTCGGAGGCCGGGAGGGGAGGCAGCGGCTTTCGCGTTGATGGTTGCACACGGCTGGACTGTGAAAACCAAGGGGAGAGGTTGCTTTACTGTCGTCTTAGTAATGGGTGCTAAAAAAGGGACAGAGACACAAACCTGTGCCTCACACTGCCAGCCGGCCACAGGGAGGCAGAGCCTGGGTGGAATAATATAAAGTGATCGACTGTAAGAAGCACTTAGACCCGGCAATGCACTCATTGTTTTGTAAATATTGAGACCACAAGTTCTCTTGCCAGCATTCCATTGGATTTTTTTTCTTTTCTCTTGTTTTTTTTTTTGAGTTGGAGTCTCACTGTGTTGCCCAGACTGGAATGCAGTGGCCACTCCCGGCCACCGCAGGCTCGACCTGCTGGGCTCCGGTGATCCTTCCGCCTCAGCCTTTCGAGTAGATGGAATTACAGGCACGCGCTACCACGCCCGGCTGATTTTTTGATTTATTGTAGAGATGGGGTCTCGCCAAGTTGCCCAGGCGGGTCTTGAACCCGCGGGCTCAGGCAATCCACTCACCTCAGTCTCCCAAGGCGCGGGATTACAGGCTGAGCCACCGAGCCCAGCTTTTTTTCATGTCACAATTCTTTTGTTGTTGTTTGAGTCAGGATTTCTGACACCCGGGTTGGAGTGCGATGGCATGATCACAGTTCACCGCAACCTCCAACTCCTGGGTTCAAGTGATCCTCCCACCTCACCTTCCCAAGCAGCTGGAACTACAGGCATGTGCTACCACACCTGGCTAATTCTTTTATTTTTTTGTAGAGACGAGGTCTCGCTATGTTGCCCAGGTCTCCTGGGCTCAAGCAATCCTTCCTTTTCGGCCTCCCAAAGTGCTGGGATTATAGGCGTGAGCCATCATGCCTGGTTTCATGTCACAATTCTTAAAGGATGATTTACTCTGTGATCATTTTGTTCCATTTTAAGATTTTTTTCTCTCTTGGTGGACGAAAACCGCCTTTTTTTCCTTTATGCACCATGAGCATGCATTTGGGTTTACCACACTGCCCAAGAATACTGCTTCTCCCAACACTGGAATGGAAATTAATCCAGCCTCACAATGGCAGTAGCCAGAAAATATTTCTTCTCCTGCATTGTCCATTTTCAAGTTCTGCCTTTAAAAATAGCAGAGTTGGGCATATTAACTGGTCTTTTTTCTTTTGCTTTCATTTATTTATTTATTTATTTTTATTTATTTATTTATTTATTTATTTATTTATTTATTTATTTATTTTGAGTAGGAGTCTCACTCTGTCACCCAGGCTGGAGTGCAGTGGCACACTCCCAGCCACCACAGCCTCAACCCGCTGGGCTCAGGCAATCCTTCCGCCTCAGCCTTCCAAGTAGCTGGAACTACAGGTGTGTGCCTCCACGCTCAGTCAATTTTTTTTTTAATTGTAGAGATGAGGTCTCACCAAGTTGTCCAGACTGATCTCAAACCCAAGGGCTCAGGCAATCCACTCGCCTCGGCCTCCCAAAGTGCTGGGATTACAGGCTTGAGCCACCACGCCCGGCCTCTTTTACTTTCTTCTAGAATATTCACTCACGGTTTACTGATCCCTTACTTTATGCCAAGCATGACACAAGATTCTGAGCCTGGTGATGCACAGTACCTTACGGGATGTAGACCCCCCAAAAAACAGGCTTCCCTGTCCCTATCCCCTCCAAACGCTACTCACTTGCTTCTTGATGGGCAATTTGCTGAACCACGCCCTACGGCGTTGAGTGTGTTTCTCTGAAAGTTCTTCATCTTTGCTGAGGCTCACTTGTGTTCTCACTTGCCTGAGATTGAAATGCAGTCATATTACAATGATTCTTTGATTAAGGGTGTCTCTAAACCCACCAGATGATCACATTGCCAGTAGAAACATCCAGATATCTCTCCAACAGCTTTGTCATGGAGAAGGCTTCCTGGCCCCATCTCCTTGGGCAAAACACTTACTCTCAGAACTTGAGTTTCTTCACCCATGAACTAGAAATGCTGAGAGCAGAGGGAGCTGTTGCAAAATAAAACTGAGAAAGCATTTCACACGCCTGGGACAGCATCTGGTGCGTATCAGGGGCATAAAGTTATGATTGTGGTAATGACAACCTTCCTCTGTGACTAGCTCAGGGCTTACTACGTTATGCACAGGACCTCATTAGATGGTATCTATGATTATTAATAGACACGCTACAGTGATTGGGATCATGAGTTTGAATCCCAGCTTCACCATCTCATAGAGTGATAGCAATGGAACCTCTCTAAGCCTTAATTTCCTCATCTGTAAAATGGAGACTGTAAAAGAAAAAAAAAAAACAGACAAACAGAAAGACCCTAGGTGGTTTTGAGAGTTGTATGAGTTAATAAACGTAGCCCTCTTAGCATAGCAACTGATATATAGGACACGACATGTTAGCTGTGATGATGAAAGCGGAGCCTTGAATGATGACTTCCAGCTCCATCCATCACAAGAATGGAAGCCATAGACACTGGGGACAAATAAGGGTGGGGGTGGGACTAGGGTTTAGAAACTACCTATGGGGCACAACATTCACTGTCTGGGGAATGGGCCACCTGAGACCCAATCTCACCACCACACAGTATGTACATGTAGGGAATACGCATGAGCACCCTATAAATCTAAAATTAAAAATCAAAAAAAATATGGAGCCTTCGATTTAATTCTTACACAGTCATTTACTGGGAACCTGGATGTAAGATACCCTGATGGTTTGGGGGATATACTCAGATAACTAAGACAGGATTCTTACCCTTTAAGAGTAAGGGCTAAAAGACCAGAATGGAATGCACACATATAAACAGCACATGAGAAATGAACATCCAGTAAAGAACCAATCCACCCTGCCGTGGAACACACAGAAGGTGCAGTGGAGTCTAGGAGGATCCAGAAAGGACCACAGGTGACCCGACAGCTAGTCTAGGCCTTCCAGCAAATGGGCCTTCAACAGGAAGAAGGTTCCCAGGCAGAGAGAACAGTAGATACAAAGAGACCTGGAGACTCAACAGATGAAAAAGAAACTGACTTGATGGATTGCCACAGAGGCACCCTCGGACATGGACTCACCGCTTCTGCCCTGAGCAGCCACAGCAGCCGCAGAAAACTGACTGGACGGTGATATCTGAAAAGCAGGTCATCTCAGCAGCTAGCCGACCCGGAGTCCATGGCAGTGAGTCTGTCCCTGGAGGTGAGGTGAGTTATTATGAAGTGCGTACATGTCTTGGCTGTGACCACTGGCACCAGGGGGAGGCGAAAAACCCACGAAAGCAACAAGCAAGTTCCTGGCAGCCCAACCAGTGTGGTTTCCCTGCTCAGGCGCATCTGCTCTGGTCTGGTTTTTGCATTTCCTCCGTCTGCGAATGACCAGCATATACTACTTCAACCTTGTCAGGGCTGATGTTAGCTAACAAGGGCACACAGGGACAGGATCCCAGAAGCAGTGTTCTAGAAAATCTGGTGGTAGAGATTTTGAATGAGGTTCATCAAGTTTTTTTTTTATTTAAAAATAAAAAAACTCTCAACTTGTCTGTGGATTAAGTCCAAATATACACTGAATAGCCAGGCCAGGTGGCGTGTGCCTATAGTTACAGCTACTTGGAAGGCTGAGGTGGAAGAATCGCTAGCACCCAGCAGCTGGGGTGGCCATGAGCATGCCACTGCACTCCAGCCTGGACGACAGAGTGAGACTCCAGCTCAAAAAAAAATTTATATATATATGTGTGTGTGTGTGTGTGTGTGTGTGTGTGTGTGTGTGTGTGTGTATACTGAATATTTTTAAAAGAACTAGCTAGTACATCTACACTTTCTTGTCAAGCTTAATCTTTATTTAGTTTAAGTTCAATGATTAACCTTTTTAAAGACGATGAATAAGCTGGCATGGTGATTTACACCTGTAATCCCAGCATTTTGAGAGGCCAAGGAGGGAGGATCACTTGAGCCCAAGAGTCTAAGACCAGCCTGAGCAACATGGCAAGACCTTGTCTCTACAGAAAAAATAAAATTGGCCAGGCATGGTGGCACATGCCTGTAGCCCCAGCTACTCAGGAGGCTGAAGCAGAAGGATTGCCTGAGCCCAGGAGTTTGAGGCTGTGATGAGCCATGATCGTGCCACTGCACTCCAGCCTGGGCGACACAGTGAGACCTCGAATTTTTGAATTTTTTTTTTAGTTGGAGTCTCACTCCGTTGCCGAGGCTGGAGTGCAGTGGCATGCTCACAACCACCCCAGCGTTGACCTACTGGACTCAAGTGATCCTTCCGCCTCAGTCTTTCAAGTAGCCAGAACTACAGGCACGCACTACCATGCCTGGCTAATTTTTTTATTTATTGTAGAGATGAGTCTCACCAAGTTGCCCAGGTTGTTCTCGAACCTGTGGGGCTCAGGCAATTCGCTCACCTCAGCCTTCCAAAGTGCTGGGATTAGAGGCTTGAGTCACCGCACCTGGTTTTTTTTTTTTGGTTTTTTTTTTTTTTTGAGTCGGAGTCTCACTCTGTCTCACTCAGGCTGAAGTGCAGTGGCACACTCACAGCCACCACCGCCTTGACCTGCTGGGCTCAGACGATCCTTTCACCTCAGCCTTCGAAGTAGCTGAAACTATAGGCGTGTACCACCACACCCAGCTAATTTTTTTTATTTATTGTAGAGATGAGGTCTTGTCAAGCTGCCCGGGCTTATCTTGAACCCACTGGTTCAGGCAATCCTTTTTCCTCGGCCTCCCAAAGTGCTGGGATTATAAGCGTGATCCACTGTGCCCAGCCTAATTTTAAAAGGTTGTTTTTGTTTCATAAAACTGACCCTTCCCAGTCAGCTTCCATTCATACTGACACCCGAAAATACAATATGATAGAGGCAGCCAAATATTAGCTTGGGGTTGAGATAGGCCTGTGTCCTAATTCTAGCCATGTGGCTGACTAACATCTTGAATAAGTTCCTTTACTTCTCTAAGTCTTAGTTTTCCCGTATGGAAACACATGGCGACTAAAAAGTACTTCCTTTGAGAAGCCTTATCAGGCAGAAATTCATCTCTAGCTCTGTGACTTTGGGTAAATCACTTATATGTCCTGGACCTCATTGTCCTCATCTGTAAAATGGGACACATGGGATACCTAGCACCCAAGGGTGCTGTGGGGACGAATTGAACTGGTTCATGTAAAACCTAGAACATTACCAAGTATGCAAGCTGGAGGGTAGTCAGGAGGGCCTAGTATCATGGGCTTGCTGTGAGGATGGGATTAGATGTCATCTTTAACGTCCCTGGAACAGAGAAGGAAAGAAATTCTATGAACCATGGCCCCAACAGGACGCAGAAGACACACTCGAATTGGAAAACACTGAGAAGGCTGATTTCTAGAAGGAAGTCATCATAGAGATGCAGGCAGAGTGTTTCTGAGGACAGGGCAGGAACCCAGAAAAAGTGTCACCACCTGCAGATGCAAAGCAGTGAGGGAATGGAGGATGCTGCATCTGGGACAGGGAGTCTGCAGGGCAGGCCACATCGAAAAGGGCAAGTTATCCCCATTGAGGTGCACAGACAGCTCAGGAGTCTTCACAGAAAAACATCAGAAGGATGAATATCTCTCCCTCCCTCCCTGCTGGGGCTCTCCACCGGCCTCACCCAGCAGAAGTCGCATGGCTGCATGTGATCCACATGGGAGCAGAGACGGCTGGACAGGTGACTAGGGGGAGAAGGCAGACACAGTCCATCCCTCAGCATCCACTCTCATCTCTCATCTGAGTAAAAACTTTATTGTAGACTTTATCTCCAAGTTGGGGATGCCCGGAGTCCCATCAGCCACCATGTGGTCAGCAGATTAAGTCCATGTGGTCATACCTCCACCCAACCCCCAATATGCCAGCCTCCAGCAGGGCTCAGGAGGTCAAGGGAACCACACCAAACAACCGCGAAAGCCCCCACCTCTACCATGGTCAAGTCCTGGGGTGGAGTCCCAGGCACCCTCTTCCACCACTCATCCCGTCCTCCCTTGGTCACTGCCCATGGCTGGGATGAGGGAGGTGCCATGCCTGCATTTCCATGGGATTTGGATCCTGGGTGAGCCTTGTCTTTGGGGGGTTGCTGCAGCTTTCCCTTGAGATGATTAAGAAATGTGACACTAATCACAACTCACTGCAGCCTTGAACTCTTGGGCTTTAATGATCCTCCTGTCTCAGTCTCCTGGACAGTTGGAACTACAGGCGCACACCACCATACCTGGCTAACTTTTTCTAGGGATGGGATCTCACTATGTTGCCATGCTCGTCTCTAATTCCTGGCCTCAAGCCATCCTCGCATCTCAGCCTCCCAAAGTGCTGGGATTACAGGTGGGAGGCACCATGCCCGTGCATTTTTTTCAACCATTTTTGATCCACAGTTGTTTGAATCCACAGATGTGGAACCCACGATCACAGAGGGTCTGCTGTATATGCAAGAGTGTCCGTTTGGGAAGATGACAACATTCTGGGGACAGATGATGGTGATGGTTGTACAACAATGTGAATGCACTTAATACCACTGAACTGAGCACTCAGATACGGTTAAGATGGTGAGATATTGTAATGCGTATTTTGCCATGATTTAAAGCATACACACTCACAGAACCTGATGACTTTCCCTCTCTGTCACTGCTGTGGTGAAGCCACCATCACCTACGGCCTAAACACTGACAGCCTCCTAACTTTTTCCTGCCTCTGCCTCTGCCTGTGGTTTAAGCTCAGCACAGCGACCAGAGTGATTCGTTTAAAACCCAAGTTGGACCATGCTACTCCCTGTCTGAAAACCCCGCAACGGCTATGCATCTCAATCGGGGTCACAGATTTCTCCCAGGCACCTAGCAAGTCCTCCATTTCTCCAGATAAATGCTTACATAAGCACAGCATGGAAGAGGCATTACTAAGCATAAACACAAATGTCAGGAAACATAAACATCGATACACCTTACATGAACAAGATGTTGTGCAAGTCTGAAAGATATTTTAAAAAACAAAATTATAAGTATAATCATGAACTACGAAACACACTTGTAACATATAATGAAGAAACAGTTGGCATCCTTAAAATATAGTGAACTCGAAAGTCAGAATGTTATAACAATGTATGTTCCATATCAGACTATTAGTTAGAAAAATGTACAGATTGAAGCAGGACTAAAAATATATTGATAAAAATGTTGGTATTTGTTAGCACAGAGTCATAGATAGTTTTCTTTCTTTATTTGTCCTAAAGTTTCAGAATAAACATCTGGTTTCAATAAAATGGCAAATTTCTAACACAGCAATGGAAAAGACAGGCAGGATTGGACTGTTTGGTCATTCACCCCAAAGCCTCATCTGTTCTGTTATTAAGTTGTTTATTAAATGGTGTCACCTGGGAGGCCATTCACAATTTGACCATCTGCTCTCTCTCATCTCCTCTGAAGTAAGCGCCCGCTCACTTCACTCCAGTCACAGACTCATTGCTGCGGCTGGAGCCAGCCAGACCTGCTCTCCAAAGGCTCCTGGTTTTTGTTTGCCCAGAGCACTCTCTCCTCAGGCCCCACAGGTTTACTCCCTCCAGCTCCTGACTCAAATCCCATTGGCCCAGAAGCATACCCTGACCCCTCAGGCCCACCACAGGCTCTCCCTGCTCTGCTGTTTCTTCCTTTCATGGCATTTCTCACTTTCTAACATCCTAGGCAATTTATTTATCTTTTTTTTTTACTGTCTCCTCCACTAGAATGTAAACAGGGATATATCTTGCTCAGGTATTATATCCCAAAAGGCTACAACAGTTTTTGACAAAATACATACTCAGCGAACATGTGGTAAGTGAATGGTTTCGTAGGTTTCAAAGAGCACCAATTTTTTTTAAGTCAGGGTCTCACTCTGTCACCAGGCTGTAGTGCAGTGGCACAATCATGGCTCATCACAGCCTTGACCTCCCGGGCTCAGGCAAGCCTTCCGCCTTAGCCTCCCAAGTAGCTGGGACTGCAGGCATGTACTACCATGCCTGACTAGTTTTTTTTATTTTTTGCTTTTATTTTTGTAGAGATGAGGTCTCACTATGTTGTCCGGGCTGGTCTTGAACTCCTGGGACACTCCTGCCTCACCCTCCCAACATGTTGGGATTACAGGTGTGAGCCACCACACCCAACCTGAAAGAGCAC